TAAATAAATAAAAATTAAAAACTGAGGAAGGAAGGTCAAATCCAGCCTCCCACATTGGACTGACCACAGTCCCTTCGCATTCTTCCATTTGAGAGGATGAGTGAATGCTCATTTCCCTTCTACAGTCTTCACCCACTTCATCAGTAGTGCTGCTAAGACCATCTGGGATGCTTAAATACCAGAGGCAATTTGCAGAGGTTAAATATCTCATTGGCATGGAAAGTGCGCCTCACAATATTTCTGATGAAAGACAACATAATTTTCTGTCTAAAAGGATCCTTGACTGAAATTATAGGTTTTTGTTAACTGAAAGACTTACGAAAGTACAATCTGGATGATATTACAGTCATGAATAACACTTTTATTCAAATACGCAAACCGAGCACAGAAATGGTCAGGAATTTTTTTGAACATCTGTAACAAAATACACCACAGTGCTTTTACATTACTCTGGGTAGTAAAACAGATCAAAAAGATTGGATGGTCTACCGATTGTTTCCAGCCTAGGATGATGTGGTACATCCCATGTATTAAAGCCACATGAGCCTCTTGATATTCTCAAAATGTAAAATACATTAAACATAGTTTCCATAAATAACTATGCATTTAATTGCCAATGCATTTAGATATAACTTACCTGAGTAGTTACTTTCATAACTAGCGGAAAAACGCCTGCAGAGTAGTAAGGACAGATTTCCTTATCTTTCACATGCAGCATGGTAATGACTTTGCACTACACACACACACACATGCATCTCTCAGTCCAACTCTGTGCCCCCTGTCTAAATGTCCATCACAGAGGCTGACACGGCTGCCTTAGGCTAACTGTTATCTCATTCAAAAACAAGGCAGCCTCTACCCAGCTGCATCAAGACTGACATCACAGTGCAGTTTTTCAGTCATTCAGACAGAAACTGCACACCACTCAATAAAGTAGATGGATGCAGTCTACACTTAATGACTGTAATGAACAAAATTGTGACATTAAAAGCGAAACAAGTCTGCATATAGCATATCACCTCCACTCACACTGTAGACAGATCAATGATGATTCTGCCTTTGTGATGTCTGTTTGCATCTCTAACCATCTGCTTTGCTGCATGTGTGTTACAAACATATTTGGGTGACTATGACTGCACCAGCCACACCACCAAGAGTTTGCTGGTTTGAAGAAGTCTGACTCAATTAGTCTCACCATCTGGAGAGATGAATATTTCCTGTCTGCTGTGCACAGCTCTAAAAATACATGTCTACATTCTCGACGTGAAGCGATTTTTTTTTTTCTTTCAATCTTTTCAATAGGACTGGCCATTATTAACTGCTTCTCAAGTGACACTTAATTGTGTTGTTAGCAACACTCTTTGTTGTGAAATGTCTGGTGCAGTGCTACAAGTTAAATTATGTATTCCTCGCCCATTCAACAGGAGTGCTTCTACTGTATGCAAATGAAAGGCTGTATACTTAAGCTGCCAAACTGCGTTTCACAGTAATATAATTGGACACGGCTCACTTCAGCATCTGACAATGGAACTGTGACAGTAACAGGAGACTAAAAATTTAATAAATTAAAAAAAACATAACATTTTTGAATGAATCTTTTTCTCCTCCACATTTACAATACAAACCCTGCTGACCATCAAAGCACCCACTGAGGTTTGGGTGCCTTCTTAGGAGTAAGAGAGACCAGGCCAGCTAACAACTGACTTTGATATTTTCCCATCAAGCACCTGCATCTAAAAGGTCACAAGCATCATGTAAAGCTGCAGTACTTTCTTAAGTGTTAAATGAAAACTGTATTTGTTATGTATGGTAAAAAACCTGGCATACAAACAATTAATAATTGGGTTAAACATATTGGTACAAACTGGAAGTCACACTGGCAGTGGCACTGAAAAATAACAATACATACACTGATCTTAGATTGCCCACTATTCATATGCAAGAGATTGTGGCAGCAGAAAATCATAGGCTTACTGGAAGAAAAGACTCCATCTATATAGCTCACTGTGGTGGTCTTAAAAATGTTGATTACCCTCAATCTGTCAATCTTTCATTCATGTTCAGGTACATTAGGCCTTGGCTTCAAAGACTGGTTTAATAATTGTTAGATGTCACATAAACAAGACGGCAAATACTGTAAGAGCAGCCAACCAAAACCACTCATTTTATGGTAATACAGATTAAATCTAAACTATAACCAAGCTCTCGACCACATTAAGATCACCGTTTAATGGTGTGATGTGTAACCATAGGAGCCAAATTTTAGTCTTGCTATGCAAGATGTGCACGCAACAGAAAATGGGGACACTCTTTGCTTACCTAAATTATGGATGGAGTGAACCATTGACCTGTTCCTGACTCGCTCACGGGCAACGTGTTGAACGTGGACGACATACCCAAATCTACTGCTAATTACTGGTTTAAAAAAACGGGGCCAAATTTACCGCGCGAGCGCATAACATCTCGTAAAAAGACACCTAAGTTGCAGTCCATCTCAGCGCAGAGTAGTCCAAAATCCAGTCCGTCCAGTAAACCTTCTCATGGTACCTGTGTGGACTCCTTAATGTGATAAGTCTCCGGCTGAGCCGCACTAAACCGGTGGATATGAAGAGTCTCCATTATTTTTCCCCTTTTGCGTTTAAATGGATATGCGGTCACTGCAACAGACGCCTCTCTCCGCGCACCTGTTTTCCGAGTGAATATTGTAACGGTAAGAGGACAGGCTGAGATAATAGTCAGCACAATCTAACCTTAGCTCAAACCGACCTGCATATATACCGAGTCTCCTCTCTGATTGGCTCACAGCGACGTCGCTCACGAAATCCCTTTGAAGTAGGGCTTCACGGGCGTCTGGTAAATGTAGGCGCGTGCATACCACCAAATATAGTGTTTGTTTTTTTTTAAAATCATATATTAACATACATTTATCGAAATACGCTTAATTTGATTTTAGCTACTTGAATTTTTATTTTGTTTTAAATTCGTTTTCACGGAATCTTCTCAGACATATATTAGGAGGTCAACTTGATGACAGTTATTTTCCATATATACTTTTCATTTAGCATAGGTTACCTGCAGCAAGAAATACAGCTATAAAAGCAATCAAAAGAAACGCCCAAATGCCTATGCTCTTTGTGAAATGATCTTTTATTGACATTCTCGGTTTTAACTTTGTCTTGATATTCTGAACTAAGCCTGATTCGTCGTGTGGTTTTGTAGTTTCGTCTTTATAAAGCTTATAAGCAACTATTAGAGCGTTTTCCTGTTTATGTTTCCAGCAGGAACAAGGAGAAAGCTGGTTAAAATGCACTCTAAGGCAGATTACACCCGGTCAGGGTCTAAAGGTCAATTCACTGAAAATTTCCAAAGGACAAAGACACTTGTGTGTACATCACAGCTATTTTGAAGCAGACTTTTGGTGGATCGTGTTGAACAATGCTGCCATCTACTGTTATTGATAAGAAACTCGGTTTTGCCGCTGGGCAATTAGCCAGATAAAATCTAACCGAAGCATTTAATAAACATTCAGGGAATCATAATAACTCTGATGTACTGTCAACGAAGTGCAGCCACAGACTCCAAACTCTCCTTTATTGCTATTTCATTTACCTCAGCGACAATAAAGAAGCTGCAATAAATACTGCAATCTGTTTTCTGTGAAATAAATCTGCCTTCCGTTCATATCTGCAGTGTATGCAGATGAACACTGGCTTCAGATCAGACCCAAATTATCCACTAGATGTCACTACACGCCCTCCTTGAGTTAGAAAGTAATAAAAAAAATTGAAAATAATACGTCTATTATCATTATTATTAGTAGTAGTAGTAGTAGTTTTAAGACTTTGAGTAACTAGATGGCTTTGGGGAGTATGTTTTTCTACAACAGCTGATGTATAGTATAAAGTTTTTCTCAAGTTTTAGAGTGAGCTCTATTGGCTGGGTAATTGTGGGGGAAATGTAAAGTAAAACTGGGTGGAAATAACCTGAGTTTTGAACTCAAAACTTTATTTAAAAAAAAAATCAGGAAGGATTCATTTTATTGTTTATGACAGACCAAAGCTGTGAGGTGTGAGGCATAAACCTCCTAAAGGTAAGATAGGAAAACACTGTGCTATAAGCAGACCTTTTTCATGTGGCAGTAGAGAAAACACTGATTCAAATTATTAAATTTGCCTCCAAGCCATTACAGGGTCCTTATATTGTGCATGTTGGTTCACTGTCATGAACAAAGCCATTGTTACAAACATCTGTAACACTTGTGTTCTTCTTATTATCACGGGGAGCTTAAATCAGCCAGCTAAGCATCCAGTCTGGGTGGCTTTGGATCATGTGTAGGAGGGAATATATTTTGGACTTTTAACTTATATTCATAGGTTTCAAGCTTTTCCAACGGATAATCATCGTTGCCATTCATAAAAAGGAATTAAGTAACAGATCAACAATAACAATTAAAACTACATAAATTTCTCTCTCTCTTTCGTTTTATGTTTGCTTTTCAATTCACAGACAAATTCATCAGGACTTTTTCTGTAATTTTACGCATGTATAAACTACAACTTACTACATTTACTACATCATTTACTTTATCATGTAGAAAAACTGAGACGTGCTGTTTCAGCTGCAACACGCATTTGTAAAGCTTATGAAGCTCACTTTGCATTCCTATATTGAACAGTGCTGGTCTTCAGTATGGCTGCAGGAACACGATGCAAGCTGCTCTGGCCTCTCTCTGACACGGGGTCAGGAAAGACCCGTCAAGGTTTTGAATGAACCACCAACTCATTAAACCATGCGTGCATACACACACCAACACACAGATGGCCGCAAACACCCAAACATACGTAACAGACAGTACGTAATGTCCTACATACATGCACATTCGTGGCACGCATGCGGTCCGGTCGTATGGTGGCGCTCTTGCTGTGCCTTCCTGCCACTGGAGAACAGCGACAGTCTGGCTATTTAACGGCGGGGCTGGTGGCTTCATTCCGCTCTGAAACTGGCAGCACACCACATGAAATCCCCAGTAATGCGATGCCAAAGCAGCTTGTTAAACTCAAGAAGAGCGTCGTCTGATCTGAGGGAACTTGTTCAACTCGCCGCCTCCTCATCTTCACTTTTCACTTGATGACAATTTCTGCCGGATCGTGCCCAGCGCGTCTTTCTCTCTCCGCCTTCCGCATCTGTCGCACTGAAAGTTTGGTTTTGCGAAAGTAGACATGAATAACACCGGCTTCAACCAAACAGAGAGCGGCCTATTCAACAAGACAGAGGAGTTTTTTTGCTGCAACTTTTCATCCGTGGTGACTGATAATGGCTTTGTGGCAGCCGCTCCGGATGAGAGGAGCCTCTTCATCATGAGGGTGGTCCAGATAGCCGTCATGTGCGTTTTATCCCTCACGGTGGTGTTCGGCATATTTTTCTTAGGCTGCAACCTCCTCATAAAGTCAGAGGGGATGATTAACTTTTTGGTAACGGACAGAAGACCGTCAAAAGAAGCGGAAGCAGTAATTGTTGGAGCCTACTGACTGATAAAGACATATACAGTGATCACACTCTGATCAGATGGCCACAGATCGGAGACAGTGTGATGATCAGCCGCCAAAACCGGGCCCGTTTTCATAATGGTACTAAGAAAAAGAAACAAGAACTTAGAGGAGCGGTCACCTTGCAAGAGGTAACTAAACTCTGCTGGTGACCGATACTCACGGGGTGGGTCTACCTTATTTCTGGTGGCATTTAAAGCCAAGAAAGACTCATTCATCTTCAAGAGGTATAGTGCGTTTTAAGCCTATTGTTGTATTAAGTACTGTAGGCTATTTAATCACGCACTGTTGTCATTTCAGTATAGTTTCCCTGTTTGTAAAGCAGCATCCTTTGTCAAAATAGTCTTTGTATTTGCTGCTTAGAAATACCTCCTTGCATCGAAAATGCAAGGGCAAATTACATGAATGTTGTTTGCCTCTGCATGCAACGTGCAGCTCTCTATTTTCTGGTGACAGTTGTTTGCGTGTCTTTGTGGGCGGCGGTGAAAGTCTGTAATGCTGTGTATCATGTTCATTTGAATAAATTCATTCTGTAATTAAAGTTTTCTTCTTAAGATCTGCTTTTCTGTCATATCCTCCGCCACACCCTCTGCCAAAGTAACTGAGATCTCAGAAGCTAAAATTACAGCAGGAGAAAGAGCTCTTTGATTCATACTGTGATAATGACATGATGTTAAAATACAACAGAGGGTACTGATCCTGATGAATATATATATTTAAGCTTTATCTATATCTATGAAGAGTTGTACAGTTACAGGGAACCAAGAAATAGCTGCTTGCTTTTTCCTCATTTGTTTTTTTAAATTACAGTTAGATTTAACATCTAAATATGAATTATTTTTACCCAAAAGGATGCCTTAAAAATGCTCTAGAGTCCAAGAAGAAAAAAAAAAGTCTCGCCTTCCCAAGAGAGCCCTGTCTGGGTCAGATTTTGATCCATGCAGCTTTTTACATCCTTCCTCCTTCTGCCAAAACATCTGTTATGCTCATCCCCTGATTCACCTGGATTCTACCTCCCCTGGAGCCTTAAAAATGACTTGCTTTCTCAGTTCAGAGAGGATGAAGCTATCGGACAATACGCTGCTGTCTGATTGCCCACCTATGCTCCGCTCGCAGTTAAATAGAATCAACTTACTTAATTTCAAATGCCCTTCACCCCAGTTACTCCCTCCATCTGTTTTACCCTTTCTGATCTATGCATCTCCTCTGACACGGCCTTACTCGTCTGATGAATGTTAATCAAGGTGGAAACTGTCTCAGGCCACATTTGCTGTCCTCAGGCTGGCTCTGAAGAACTCAAGCAAGCACTTATTTTACTAGTCATGCTGAGGAAAAATAAATAAGTCAGCAGTAATTAGATTTTATACTCTTATAGGTGGAAGACCTACACATGGGTTACATTAAATTAAAACAACTGCTATCAAATATGGCACAATCCAGTAGAGTGGCAATAAATGCTGCATTTGTGAAGCTTATGATGTTGACTTTACTGGGGCTATATTTTATAGTCTTGAACAGTGGGGGGGGGCAAATATTGCCTAGATTCTTTGGAAGAGAGGAGTTTAATGAAAGACCACCAAAAACAACAGCTTGAGAAATTGCAACAACTGAATCAACACCTCTCGGAGTCAGCCTCCACAGAAACCCAGGGCTGGAAATCTTAAATATACAGCTGAGCTGGGTTTATAGGGTTCATATTCTGTTCTTGTCTTGCCTTCTTCAAATTTCTAATAAGAAATAACTGCAAAAGCACACAATCCTGGGAGGTTATTAATAGCAAGTTAATAGGCTTCTTTACATGTAAAATTCACACCCCATAAATTTACCTCTGAATAATTAAGCCACATTTAGTTTTTCAAACTGAGCAATAGATTTTTTCACATTTTCACCTCAGGTATGACTCTCTGTAGTTAGAGCAACACGTTAACAAAGCAAATGATGCAAAGAGAAACATGTCTTTCTCTGTTAATAACAGCATGAAGTGTTATTAATATAAGTAAACATAAAACATATAAACGCACAAAAAAAAATTTGGCCTAACTGAATATGGAATAGAATAACAGTAAAAATGCAGCAGGTATAATTGTATTTATATATATGACTCCAAGCGTTTCTCTTTTCTGTGATTGCTTCTGTAAGGTAGTGCTGAGAATAGCTCTCAAATATTAAATATCCAGCAGAGAACAATCTTCTGTCTGCAGCTGAGCTGTAGTTAGTTTATCCCACAGTGCTTCATACACATTTATATAGGCTGAAATCTGGCTAGAGATCCTGAAAGAAGCAGATCTAAAGTTGGAAATTCAAGTTTAAATACTATAATTTTTCTTCTTATTTAGGATTTTACTTTGGATTTACCACTAGAGGCCATCTCAAAGAATACACACACCTGTCACATACCAATGCTGAGGGAGATTTAGGAGATACTAACAGCAAACAGTCATCTATATGTTACCTGGTTTTGTGTTAATCATCATTTATTCACAAAGTGTTTGGGATTTAAAAAAAACAAACAAACATGTTCTTATTTTTCTTAATACACTTGCAGTCTGGTTAGAGTAACTTATATCACAACCGCAGCACAGGTAAAAACAGCATTAACTCACTTTATCCCATGTGGACTGTATGCCAGCTTTGTTCAACTGTGACTGCATCTGCAGGGTGTTGATTGTGGGCTAAAAGAGGCTTCGGGTCCTGACTCGCTCTCATATGATTGGCTGGTAAGCAGAGATTCAGTCGATGAACTGAATAGTGACTAAAAGCTCCAAATAGCAGCAAGGCACCACAGCCACCTCCTCGGTTTACTCCTATTCTCCCACAGCTTTATTCCCATTCAGTTTATTTTATAGCTGTGATGTGGGAGAAATAAATCTGTTAATGTCGCCTTATGTTTATCTCATTGAATTGTGGTTTTATGAAGTTTTTCTCTGCTGTGTCTTTAAACAGTGAGATGTTTCTTCCCAAAACTACTCAGGCTCAATGTAATTCTTTATTACTTTCCCATTTTTAAAGAGTTGGTA